TCTCTCTCTCTCTCCCTCCCTCTCTCTCTCCCTCTCTCTCTCCCTCTCTCCCTCTCTCTCTCTCTTTTTTGCTGTTGTTGTAGTTCAGGGTCCTGAACATGACGATGATGGAGGCTATGATGATAGCGATGGCTGTGAGAAAGATAATGATGTTCATGAAAATGTTGATGATGGCGAAGATGTTCATGATGTTAATGATGACGATGATGATGATGAAGACAATGATGCTCTATCTCTCGATCTCTCTCTCTCTCTCTCTCTCTCTCTCTCTCTCTCTCTCTCTCTCTCTCTCGCTCTCTCTCTCCCTCTCCCTCTCCTTTTATTACTCATGACTTAACACTTTACAAAGTTACCTTAAACATTTCATATGTCCCTCCTTTGTTTAAACAATTAACAGCCTGTAAACTTTCTGTTGGAGGGAGCTAGATCTTGCAATGGCTAGAGTACTCGCATATATTAGAATAGATAATGTGAAACGCCACCATTGATTTGGCAATTGCTGACCTCTTGACTTGGCTCACACCTAAGATTTTAATATTTGAGATAACTCTTTCTTGTCCAGATCCTGGACCATTGTTTTGGTCTTTCACGTGCAAACACACAATACACACACACATACACAAACATACGCACAAACACTCACACACACAAAGACACACCCACACACAAAGACACACACACACACACACACACACACAGAGACATAATAATATGTGTAGGGAAAAAAAAACCCCACCCAAACGACAGAAACAAAATACTATGTACATGTAGCTGAAACATTTGTATGTGATTTTCCAAGGGCTTTGAAGGTGGCGTGCGACCGAAGCGCAATGCCAGGACCTGGCTCAAGGCCAAAGCCCGGAAGTGTGAGTGCTCCTGCAGCTGTCTGCGCCGCTTCCTCACCCTGCACCTGCCCTTCCTGGGCATTCTCCGGGACTACAGTCTGCGCCGGGACCTGGTCGCTGACGTCATCGCCGGGCTGACCGTTGGCATCATGCACATACCCCAGGGTAAGATGGGCGTCTGTGTTGTTGGAATTGAGTTGTAGTTATGTTTGTTGGTATTGTTGTTGTTTCTCTGGGTAACAATAGAGTCTGTGTTGTTGGAGTTGAATTATTGTTATGTTTATTAGTATCGTTTGTCGTGATTTAGGATAATGTTAGATTTGTTTATTTTAATGTTGGATAAGATGGGAGTCTGTGCTATTGGGGCTGAGTTATTGTTATGTTTGTTTGTTTTGTTGTTTCACCTCAGGGTAACATGAGATTTGATGATTGTTAAGTTTGTTAAGTATGTTGTCATACCTGAGGTTAAAAGCTCCTCTGGCCCTCTCTGTTAGCTCAGTTGGTATCATGCTGGACTATGAAGCCAACGACCCTGGTTAAAATCTGCAACATGGCATTTCTGTTTAGAATTATTTTGTTGTTGTGTTTTCATGTCGCAGGGTGAATGAGACTTTTTGTATTTTTAAGAATATAGGCTATTACAGCATTTATTTATTTGTCAGAATGCTTTGGATGCTTTATGTTCATAATGCCGACTTATGCGTTTCACTAATTTTGTTTTGCGTGTTTTGTTTTGTTCCTTGATTTACGTTGTCTGTCACTTTTAACATTTCTCTGTCTGTCTATATTCTTTTCTCTGTCTGTTCTCCCTTCTGCTGTCTTGTTGGTCTGTCAGTTTGCCCTCCAGTCTGTGTAGCTGTGGCCCGTCCATTTATCCATTGTTCTGCTCCCCGTCCCCCTCCCCCCTCTTCATATTTATTTCCTTCTTGTGCCTAATAATTTATCTCTTGTATGTACCTCTCTTCTATTAAGAGGTCTTGTTTGTTCTTATATATGTGTCTGACAAACTACAGGAATCTATCTATTTATGTGCAAGCCAAGTTTTACTTACAAAGTTTGATTGAGCCTTAATCACACCTTTCTTTTTTCTTGGTGCTACATGTATTGAAAATTCTTTAGCAAAGATATGACACGGCCATTTCCTTTGCAGCATATTATTACTTTTAACTGAAGGAAAACGATAAAGTAGTTTTTTTTCTAATGGTTAAATTGCAAAGAAAAGCCTATGTTTTTCTCATCTTGACAATGACAAACTTTCCATGTGTTCTTTTCTTCCCCCTTTCAGGTATGGCGTATGGTCAGTTGTCCACTCTGCCCCCAGTGTTTGGCCTCTACGTGTCATTCTTCCCCGTCATTCTCTACTTCTTCCTCGGAACCTCCAAGCATGTGTCCATTGGTAAGAACTTTTTATAATTCTGACTGTGCACCTCGCGTAATCAGATATTGCATAAGTTGGAGTTTTTTTTACCGTAGCCAGTGAGTAAAAGTTAATCGATGTGGTTCTCTAATATGATGAAAAAACCCTGTCTTCCTGGACCACTGCTCATTTTGTACTGTTTGATGCAGATATATATGTAGATTGTGCGGAAGAGAGAAAATTTCTTTCACATCTTGAAGAGCTTCTCAAGCAAAGGATCAATTACAACAACTACAGCGACAATAACTACATCAAGAAAATTGCCTAAAAGTGGGGTCAGAGTCAACAACAACAACAACAACAACAACAACAACAACAACAACAACAACAATATTGCTCACAAGGAGGAACTCTGAATGATAGGTTAAATGTGTAGAGATGGAAAAAAGCTTTGAGTAATGAAAAGAATTTGTGTTTGAAAATTATTATCCTTTTTAAGTTTTGTTTATAGACATTCACAGTTAATGTTGGTACTGCAGCCCAAACCAGTGTCTTACAAATGTGTTATGTGGTTTGGGGAGGGGGTGCTTTTGTAATGACTTAATAGTGTTCGGTAAGTTGTTTTTAGAACGAAGTACTTCTACAAGGATTAATAAATTGCTTTCTTTTTTCTCTCCTCTCCCCCCCCCCCCCTCTTTCTTATTTTTTTAGGGACATTTGCAGTGGTGTCACTTATGGTAGGGTCAGCTGTAGACAAGGGCATGAAGGATCTTGGTTTGACCCCGATAAGTCACAACGTGACCGTCACAGAGGGGAATGAGACAAGCTTTCTCATCACGGACAACTCAGAGGAGATCCTGGATGCAAAGCTGAAGCTGGCCATGGCTGTCACGTTCGCTGTCGGTGTCCTGCAGGTAGGTGGGGGGGGGGGTATGACTTGCCTATGATAAGGTGGGGGGGGGGGGAGTTTTTAAACTCTGAATAAACTTACTTACCTACTTACTGACTTACTTGTACAAATGTTTTTATAGTGAAAAACAGTGTAGAACAATGACGACAAAAATTGATGTCTAATTCATCGTCGTCCCGCAGTTGCTACTGGGTTTGCTGCAGCTGGGCTTCCTGACGGTATACCTGTCCGACCCGCTGATCAGCGGCTTCACGACGGGCGCCGCCTGCCACGTGTTCACCAGCCAGATCAAGCACATCTTTGGCATCTCCATGGGACGCTACAGCGGAGCCTTCAAGCTGATATTTGTGAGTCAAACACTCTCTGGTTTGTCGTATTGGTGTGTGTGGGTGTGTTTGTGTGTGTATGTGTGTGGGTGCGTGTGTGGGTGTGTGTATGTGTGTGGGTGCATGTGTGGGTGTGTGTATGTGTGTGTGGGGATGCTCACTCGTATGTGTTAGTGTATGTGTGCATGCATGTGCAGGTGTGTGTGTGTGTGTGTGTTCATGTGTGTGTGTGTGTGTGTGTGTGTGTGTATTAGTGCGTGAAACCCTTCATTTAGCAAGTATGTCTCTACCAACTCGTACACAGTTGCCTGTCGTGTATTTTGTGTGTTTGGTCAAAGCCCAACTCCTTAATGGTCTAAATTGTATCATTGGGGGCCTGAAAACACATACATTAGAATCTTATTTTGACTCAAGCAAACAAATATCTCCCTTTTCCTCCCTCAGTCTTACAGAGATATCTTCAAGAACCTGCCGGACACGAATGCTGTGACATTCATCGCCTCATTGGTCTGCATGGTGCTGCTGTTTGTGACTAAGGAGTACATCAACAACAACCCCAAGATCAAACCCAAGCTGAAGATGCCTGTGCCTGTGGAACTCATTGTGGTCAGTTCAGCACAGCCCGCAATGACAATTAGAATACTGTTGGAATACATTAGAGTACTATTGTCTCTGTAGTTTAACACTTACAATACCGCAGGCTCATACTGTGAAAAATCCTCTAGTACCCTCACCAGTTTACTTTATAGGGTTGCCAGTTTCCGGCTTTTGCGGCCGAGATAATTTTTCCTGCCTGGTCAGCAAATTGTAACCGGACACTGGCTAGGCCTGAAGGAAGACCAGAACGGGTTGTTGAACTCTTGTGCATTTCCGGTTGGGGCTGGGCATTATTAGTTTTTTTAAAAACCCAAATACATAGGTACCTATTATTTTAAAAATTGAATAAACAAAACAAAACGAGTCAGAAACGAGGTACCTAGTATTGAAACAGGTACCTAGTTCAAAACTCAGTACCTAGTGGGTACAACCATTGCGTTCCACCTTCAAACTGCTTTCAGCAGATGGAAAAACAAAGGCAACAAAAAGGAAAAATGGAAGAAACCGTCTCCAACCATTTCTGCTCTAACAGACTTCCTAAGAAAATAAATACTCTCACAGTTAAGAAAGATGGAGGGGTGCAAACTGGCTGGCACCTCCTCCGAGAGGAGAGAGAAATTTCTTTACAGCAAGACCTTCCCCCATCCATTGGACAGGATGACTGCCAGGGTCCCTGGAATCCCCCGGAAATTTGAAAAAAATCGCTGAGACCCGGGAATGCCCTGAGATTTTGAGGAAATCTGTAAATTGCCCCGGGAAAGACCCGGGCAAGTACATAAAAGTTCTCGAACATTTGAAAACCAAATCGGATTTACGCACTTCAATATGCTTTTATTCGTGAGTTCTATTTCTTTAATATTTAGGGTTTTTTTATAGGCCTGGGCCTATGTATTAAAAGTTTTGGCACATGCTAATATCTTATCGGTTTTTAATTAAATGCTCCGCACCGCACATAGAATTTTATACAGCAAAATTTTCAGACATTTTTGTCAGAGCCTGCTTGCGACCCTGTATTTTAGTATGCGGAAGGCGTGGTAGAATCTTTTGAAATTAAAAAAGCCTTGGCAGCTCAAGAAACATACTTTAAAAAATTCATAGAGGTTCATCAACCATTCAGCTATCATATAATATTATAGTGACTTCCTTTGGTATTTTCTTCGGTGTAGTGCCTCCATTCTTTATTTAATTGTGTTTAGTGTGCCTGCTTGCGTGGGCGACTAAAGGCACCAGCGGTAGTGAGAGCATCCTGAGGCCTAGCGGTACTGTAAGTGTTAAACTTAAACATGTTTCTTTTTTCTCTCAGAGCCACTCAGAACTTTGCCAATCAAATGACTTTCCCGCAAATGTTTGATTCATAAAAATTGTGAGATAATGAGTGTGTATGTTTTTTTGACAATAGATGGCACCCTCAAGCAGTTTCTCACTTTTGTGGAATCAGTGTTAAACTAAAATATTCAACTGTAGGGGGCAAGCTGAAATGTTGCCTTTTAGATGCGCTCTTTATCCATTTCAAATCTTTTATTTTTGTTGAAAGTGGCCTGTATCTAGTACCAAGCCAAACCAAATCATTGATTGAGAGTTATGACATGTGCATCCATGGTCAGTTTACTCAGTGTTTCTGTGTATTGTTTGGGTTTCATGCTCCCAAAACACCATACATTTAGTTGAGAGAGTCTGAATGGGCTTCTTGGTTTTTTTAAGTCCTCTTGGTAATGTGTTTTTCTGTCTGTCCTGCTCGTCATCAGGGAAACCAGTCATATATATTTGGAATTACTTTTTCCGTGTCTTGTAGTAAGAAATTAAACTTTCATAAAAATGGGATTTATTTGTGAATCTAGTTCTTCAAAAGGACTACTAAACATTTTCTCATGTGTGTGATCTCCAGGTGGTATTAGGCACTGTCATCTCTCACTTTGTGAAGCTTGAGGAGACCTATGAGGTGAAGATTGTGGGCGATATTCCAGTCGGGTGAGTCACTTGTTTTATCTGTGCTTTTACAGCATATGGAATGTCTCAAATTTGCATCGTTATTTTGAGAGCTGTGCTATCAAGTGTTTTTCTGTCCTCTGGCTGAAATGTATCCATCTCTCAATGTTTGCAAAGACTGATATTATCAGGAATAACAATTTAAGCAAAGAACGGAAAGTTTTCGTGATGACACAATAGTATTTATCATGTGCTTGATTATTGAGTGACTTTATGGCACTATAAGAGTTCTGCAGCAGTCTGAATGTGCTCATCGCCACTTGCTCTTTCTCTGCAATGTCCATGTCAAACTGTGCTCTGTGCTGGCTCTTTCTAGCATATAGTGCAACTGTTTGAATATGAACATCCGCTTAGTTAATGTGAAAAACTAACTTTGGAAAAGCATATGTTGCTTTTGTGGAGTGTGAGCTTAAGGGGAAATTCGTCTTTTCATATTAAAAAAAGGCAAAACAAAGTTAATGACTGTCCTTAGATTGTTTTGTGAGGCATTTGAAAAATCGAGCACTTACAGGCCAGTTGTGAATGAAGTCAACTGTCATTTTATAAGATTTTTTACTGGCTTTTCTGGCGAGTTGTCAGTAGCGTGAAACAAGGGGGAAAGATGTCACGACCACCCTACTTATATAGATAGGATAACAAAAACTGGCAAACCGTTCTTGGAATTATTGTGTGATAAAATGTCTCAAAGGACTACTTTAAGGACAAAGATATAGTGACTGAAGATTTTTTATTGATGTCGTTCTTTTACTTTGTTGTTCCAGCATTCCAGAGCCAAATCTCAAAGCTTTTGCCTTCCTGTCAAGGGTGGTCTCAGATGCTATTGCCATCGCAATCGTGGCGTTTGCAATATCTGTGTCCATGGCCAAGATATTTGCTAAGAAACATGAGTATGAAGTGGACTCAAACCAGGTAAATTTAATAGACTTACTGAAGTAGTGAGCATGAAACAAAATTGTGATTGGTAGGCACCCTACTGGATTATTTAAAAGTGCTTATGGAAGTTTTTCCTCTCTGCCAGTGAAAACAATACATCAAAATGCTGTTTGTCAGAACATGATGAAAGTTTACTTTAAATGCATCTGATAATCTTAGCTTGCAATGTTTGCTTCTTTTTACTGTGTTTAAGTTAATTCTTTTTTTAAATAGTCCAATTCTGTTCAAGTTTTCGTTTGTCCAAGTATTACTTACCTTTAGTCTTCTCCAAACTGTACTCACCCCACCATGAACCTGTCAGAATTCTTTTAAAAAGGAAATGAAAAATGTTTGTCCTGGTTCTGAAGTGGATGGATGGACATACCCATCCACTCACACAGGTGGTCAGACGTGCCAAAATACATATTTATATAAATTCAATATAGGCTACATTGCACTCTCCCAGTTCTTGCTGAAATTCAAAAATGGAAACAACAGGTTTCGATTAGATTGTAAATGCACCATTTTGCTTAGCCATTTTTTTCATTTGTTTTGGTTCTTTCCTCTATTTCCACAGGAGCTCCTTGCATACGGCCTGTGCAACATCTTCTCCTCGTTCTTCTCCTCCTTCGTGTCTGCTGTGTCGCTATCCCGTAGTCTGGTCCAGGAAAACGTCGGAGGGAGAACACAGGTCAGAACTCCCCAAAGGGACTTTAAAAAGCTGATAGTATAAAATTTCCTATGCCAGAGCTCAAGAAGCCTTTTTGTGTTACACTCTCTTCTTATGTGAGATTAGAAATGGTGGGATGTTTCCAAAAATGCAGCAAGAGGTACGGAGAACATTTGTGTTCAGCCCCCAGCTTTCATTCTGGAGGTGCCCTATTTGTTTTTAGTTCTTGCGAAATTTGTAGGACCCTCTTCATTATGTTTAACAAGCGTTATGTGACCCTGTGAAGTGAAAGATGTATAATGCAAGAGTAACTGTGATGGTGGGTGTTTTACAAGGCCGGAAAGTGATGCTCTGATCTCTGCCCTATATCTGTGTCTGTAGATACAGGTGACTGGTCTGTAGCTCAGTAAAAGTAAACTTGGAGCTGACTTGACTTACTATTCAGATCCAGTCGCATGTTGGTCACAGTGGGATTAGTACTGTGTCTTACAGGAACAGGAAACTGCAGGCTGTGTTTGTTGATGTGTGAAAAATCATGGGGTGGGGAAATACTTCACTTTTACCCTCTGTCCTATATACCTGTGTCTGTATGTGCAGGTGACTGGTCTGGTGTCCAGTGCCCTGCTCCTGGTGGTGCTGCTGGTGGTGGGGCCGTACTTCAAGACACTGCCTAATGTGAGTTCTCAGCTTTACAGAAGAGTGTTGGTGTGTGTGGCGGGGGTTGTGATCTGATGTTACTTTCAGATGTGTGTGAGGGTGTGTATTGATTTTTATGTGTTTGTGATTGCAGCAAGGGGTGGGGTGATTTTTTTTTTAAAGTGGGGGGGGGGGGGGTGTTTTTGTAGGGGTTTACTGTGACAGTGAATGTTAGGGTGTGTGAGTTTGTGTGTGTGTGTGTGTTGGTATGGCTGTGTATTGGTGTTGATGTGTATACATACAGGTGTGGTTGGTTTTTTTGTGTGCATATACATTATGTAGATGCATGTGTTTATGTGTGTGTTCTTGTTAATTGAGCAGTTTATTTGTACTTGATTTCCTCTTGTTTGTGTTACATGAAGTCCAAAAAGGTGTGTGGTTAGCAGGTGCTCTAGTGTGGTTTACTGCTTTCCTATCAAACATATATCATCCTTATCTCCCTCCCTTTTTTGTGTGTTTTTCTCTCTTGTAACACCTCTTATCATGTTGCAAGTGCCATAAAACTCGCACTAAAACTAAAGTCTCCGAGGTCTTCATCACTCCTGCACCGTGAACATTTTGCTGGTTTTGTCTTCAGTGTATCCTGGCGTCCATCATCCTGGTGGCCCTCAAGGGAATGTTCAAGCAGTTTGCTGAGCTGAAGAGGCTGTGGAACATTTCCGTCATTGACTTTGTGAGTGGGGTTTTGATGAATAGTTTGTGGCATTTGGGATCTGTTTTGGGAAAATTGTTTGAAATGTTTAATGGGCCTCAATATAGAAGGATGATGTTATGGCTTTTCTGACTATAAGTCTTTGAAAGCATTGCTCTCTAGCTTTGTATTTTAGTAGAACAATGGGTTTTTTCTTTAATTTTCTCAAAAGAAGGCAATATGTTTATCTACTTCAAATATTTTATGTTGAAATAACCTAAAAAGAATGGGAAAACAGTTGAGTTTAATTTTCTTGTTCCCCCAGTGACTAAAAAAAATGTCAGTTTGACTATAATTATAATATTATTGTGTCAGGGAGTGTTCAAAAGCAAGGGAAGCTACTTACATGCTTTTAAATAATTGGGATAAGATATGCAGTTGGTTCCCTTGATCTTCTTATGATGCGGTTGTTAAAAAAGCTAACTCTGCCAATCCTTAAGTTCAGTGGAAGCTTGAGCTTTCATTTGTCCTGCTGGATTTTAAGACCTATTATGATGTATTTAGTTAAATCAGTGCCTACATCGCTCTTTGTTTGTTTTTTTCCTTTTATATTGCTCTATAATCTGAGCGACATCTCTTTCTACAGGCGGTGTGGCTGGTGACATTTTCTGCAACGGTCTTATTGGACGTGGATCTGGGTCTGCTGGTGGGCGTGGTCTTTGCTCTTCTGACGGTCATCATGAGGTCACAGAGGTCAGTGTATGCCTCTTTTGTCATTGAGGAAGAGATTTGCGTGTCTTCAGATTTGATTGAGTTTGGATCCGGAACAGACTGGCGTTTTGCTGCTTAATGATTTCTCATTTAATAATTACCATTCCTATCTGTTATTCTATTAACTACTAGTCTTCGTTGCTTATTGTCTGGAGTTAGGATTTGAACCTGATTGAGGTTTTGCTGCCAAGTGTTTTGTGGTGCAGTTAAATTTTTGGTTTTAGTGTGTTAGTAAGTGCTGATATGTTTTGTTTTTACAGCTGTCCTTTCATGTATATATAATTAATGTATGGTTGTGAAAGTTCTTCTTTATGTGGTTAAACTGGTTTTTCTTGTTTCTGTGAAATATTTTCTCTTGTGTGAATGGCTCAATGTGATTGGTGTAAAGCGTTCAGAGCTTATACTAGTATGGGATAGAGTTCTATATAAATGCAATCCATTATTATTATTATTATTACCTCTCTGTTCCAAGGCTCATGGGCATTTACTGGGTACCCTGTTAGCTCTGCTGGTACAATGCTGAACTACGACGTAGATGCCTGAAAAATATCATTCTTGTATCTGGGATGTCCGTGTTTCTGTAACTGACTGTTTTTACTGGGTTGGGTAGTTGGCCCTCCGCAAACTGGCACTTTTCAGGCAACCAGATCTATGCACCTTTAGTCGCCTCTTACATTTTGGATGATGTTTTGGATGTTTTCCAAGCTCCCCTCCCTCTTGGCTCTGAGATGGACATTAAATCAGAGGTCTCACCTCTTAAATACATTTTTCATTGTCACACAGTTGAAAAATGCGTTTATTCCTTGCCTTACCGTAATGACTTCTCTGACTGACCTGTTCTTTCCACTAAACCCATTTCAGCATGGTTCTTAGGGGACAGGTACTGTGTCAAAGAAAGATAATCAAATACCCTTGGTAAGATATTTCCATTTCTACCATCATGAAAGTGTGATTTTTATCTTTCATAAAGCCGAAAAGTTCTTCACCATAGTGCAAAGAATAGAATTGAACCCAGTCTCTCACTTAAGAGTTTGAAACAGGAATAATTTCTTTTGTGGGTGTGGCTGTCTTCTGGTACCCTGTGCCTCAGGCTGCTTTGTTTGGCCCAAAAGAATATTGGCAACAAGAAGAGCAGCATCAACAAAATTGACACAGTAACACCACCAATGACAGTCTACGTCACAACAACAGGATCAACGACTACCACAACAACATTATTCTACACTGCAACAACAACATCAACAGCAATAGCAACTGCATGATGTCTTCAACAACAGCCACAACATCAGCAGGGAGGCGGTGGCCCTGGCGAAGAGTACGCTCTTCGGGGTTCCAAACATTTCGAACGGATAGGCCACCACATACACATCAGCAGCAAAATAGAAAATAACAACAACAACAAAAACTTACTTCCTTTTTAACAACAGATCTGGACCAGCAGAGGAATGTATGAATGTTAGAACTAATAGACAGGGGCAATAAATATACATTTCTTTTTCTTTTCAGACCATATTCCTGCCTGTTGGGGCAAGTTCCAGGAACAGATATTTATAAAGACATCAGCGTTTACAAAGCCGTAAGTTTTCATGTACTTCTCTTGTTCTTGACATGTATATGCATGGCCTGAGTGTTTTAGTGAGCATTTTTGTTCAATAACATGTATTTTTCAAATGCTTAATGAAAGATTTTTATTTTCTGTTATGTAACTATCTGAATTATCACTCTCACCTATATGTTGTCATATGAATGCTATACATCCATATTTAACATGATGACTTGACTTAACATATGCCATATGGCACAAAGTCTACACTTTCATTCAATAACTTTGCTGTCTGATATTTTATCAACTTTTAAACGCGCTGAAGAGTTGTTCATGTAGGGAAAGTTGTTCAACACAACACAGTATTTCGCATTGCAATTAGTTATTGATGCTTTTTATGCATGAAAGATTTGAAGTTCAGTCATGTTTTACTGCTATTTTCAATGGGGGGGTGTAAGTCCTGTGGCTTTTTCTTTTTCTTGCGAGTGGTTGATGGGTGCTATAGTATGGTTTGCTCCTTCTTTCTTTTTTTTCCTCTATCTTCCTCTTCTTTTTGTTTTCTGGTTACTCTTGAGTAACACCTCAAATCTTCAGCACTTACACCTAATTGTGTTGTAAGTGCCTTAATACTGTTACTAAAACTAAAACATAATTTTTTTCTTCTAGGCGGAGGAGACTCCAAACGTCAAAATCTTCCGCTTTGACTCTGCTCTTTTCTTCGCCAACTCGGAGTTCTTTAAGAGCTCCCTGTACAAACTGGCTGTGGATCCAAATGACCTAAAGAGAAAGCAGAGAAAACTGAACAAGAAGAAGAAGAAAGAGGAAAAAGAGTTGCTGAATATCACTGTGGTAAGTGGAATTTTCTGTGTTGTGTCTATATTGTTTGTTGTTTTTATTATGACTTTGTATTGTATTGTATTTGCATCAGTATGTTTGTGGGTGCTATACCGGTACGTTATATGAAGGAAGGCACACTGTCCTTATTAAGAACTTTTCCTCATTTCACCTGATGGTAAGAATAAGAGTCTACTTGAGTCCTCCATTCGAAACTCACTTTGACCTACTATGCACATCCGTTGTTCTATTGGGTCTCATGTGGGTTGCAGTGATGTCATGTGCAAAAAGCTCTTTTAACTTATTTTAAGAGAGGGGGACTTTAGTAGACTTATATCGTTCAGTGAACCAACTTGCAATTGGCAATTTGTGGAAAGGAATAAATATATTATAGATGTGAATGGTTGGGGTGAGCCCCCAACATCCTGCAACGCTGTATATCCTGTCATGGTAAGGATGGCCAATGGAGTTTTTACGATGTTACGGGACACTTTTATCAGAGAGAATGAATTATGTTTTTAAACTTCATTTTGTGTGTTGCAATATATGTATGTCTAAATTATGACAGCAAAGAAAGGGGACCTACAAGTTGTATTTTGATGGGGGCACAAAATATACAATCAGTCAGTCAAAAACAGTCATGTATGTAAAAATCAGTTGCGCTGCAGTTTGAAGAGCGAGCAGTCGACAGCCCCTGAGATCTAACAGGGGAATGCAAAGCCGAATAAGAAGAATCATAAATAATCTTAATTGTGTCAAACAGGGTGTAAAATGTGAGGCATCATGATGAAATCAGGTTCTCGTCAAAATAGTGAAATCGACGAAATAAGCATTTTTCTACCATTTATCAATTTTTATCGAATTTTTGTTTTTTAGCTCAACACCTTTTAGATCAATTTAAATGCACGTTTATATATGAATTTTGCAGAATAAGTTGATTAAAGGTACAAAACGTAAATTTGCACAAGTCACCAAACTTAGGCAGCCATTTTGTTGCTGATTTTACCTCTAAAATGAGGCAAACCCCACCTCCTTCAAGCGCAAATATATTGACTTCTTTTCAAGATATATATCGATCCTATTTTCACCAAAAGGAAGGCAAATGGACTGTCTTTAAGATGATACCAATAACCTCATCATACGCCCAAAAATTGACAAGCACCTTGTTCCACCACGTCCTGAGACAAATATTTACAATTACATTCTTGTTTAGCAGGACTCGTTGGGGAGCACCAAAATCCAGGACGGAGAGCACGTGGCTCTGCACCCCCACGCAGCAGACGACAACACTGACGGAACGCCGAACGCCGCGTCGTTGCATCCTCCTCCCACACAAGCCGCTACTGCCGCGGCAGCTGCAGCGCCACCCATCGCCAACGGGACTGACGAGCACCCTAACATTGTCACAGAGCTGCCCACTCTGACGGACGTCCACTACATTATACTGGACTGCTCCACCATGAGCTATGTGGACTCAGTTGGGGTCAAAGTGTTGCAGCAGGTGTATTTATGTTCTATTGATGTTTTGTTGTAAATTTGTTGTGTTTATAACAGGTGTGTGTTTGTTCTATTGATGTTTTGTTGTAAATTTGTTGTGTTTATGACAGGTGTGTGTTTTTTCTATTGATGTTTTGTTGTAAATTTGTTGTGTTTATAACAGTAACAGGTGTTTGTTTGTTCTGTATGATGTTTTTCGTTGTTGCAGGAGTGTTTTTGTTGTAATTTGTTTATAACAGGTTTGTGTTTGTTCTATTGTTTTTCTTGTAAATTTGTTGTGTTTATAACAGGTGTGTATTTGTTCTATTGGTGTTTTGATGTAATTTATTTTGTTGATGTTTTATAATTGTTACTGGTGTGTGTTTGTTCCGTTGATGTTTTATGTTGTAACAGATGTGTTTTTATTGTAATTTGTTGTGTTTATAACAGGTGTGTGTTTGTTCTATTGATGTTATGCATTTGTGACTGGTGTGTGGTTTTTGTTGTGATTTGTTGTGTTTATAACCGGTGTGTGTTTGTTCTGTTGATGCTAGGCATTTGATACGAGCGTGTGTTTGTTGTGACGTGTTGTGTTGTTTGTTGGTGTGTGTTAAGTTGGAAACAGGTGCATGTTTGTTCTAATTAGTTCTGTTGTACAGGTGTGCATTTGTTTTGATGTGTTGTTTTTGTAACACTTTTGTGTGTGTTGTGATGTGTTGACATGGGTATGTGTTTGCTTTAATGTTTTTTGTTGCAACACGTGTGTGTTTGTTTTGATGTTTTGTCTTGTTTTTTTTAACACTTTTATTTGTTTAGTGTGATTTTTTGTGTTATAAACAGGTGTGTGTTGTGCCATCATTAAAGGGATCTATTTGTTTACAACCCCCTCTCCTCCACACCCCCACATTTCCACCCTCTGAGGTAGAGTTTTTATTACTGATACTTTTTATTTCTGTGTTGATTGTTTTGTTGTCAACAAAAGTCTCATTTCATTTGTTCCTATTTTACAGGTGATTGCAGAGTTCCGAGCATTCAACATCACAGTCTACCTGGCGCAGTGCAAATGTAAGCTTTATAAACTTGGCGAACATTTTTTGCCATTCTATAAACTTTAGCAAACATTTTAAAGGAAATTAAGCAGAGAGTGTTGTTTGCTAGTCATATGTAAGGGAGGCAATGAGTTTGAAAACAAAATGTATATGTATATATATATATATATTCTTTGTGAAGAATATATACTTGTTTACTTGATTTGGAGATTTGTTCCCAATCACTGTCTCCATGGAAGTTTCTAAAAATTATTTGTCTCTCTTTCCCTTTCTTTTTGACTCTCTGTCATTTTCTCTCTTCCTTAATCTCTTTCTCTTTCTCACTCACACTCTCTGGTTTTCTTTCTTTCCCACAGCTGGTGTGAGGGAAATGTTTGAAAGAACAAACTTCTACAAGACAGGGAACAAAAACTTTTTGTTTATCACAATTCACGATGCTGTGGTCAGCGCACAGCTACACCAGTGGTCAATTCTTGGGGTAAGTGACCTGTGACTGTCATTATTAAGATATAGTATATATATATGTGTGTGTGCGTGTATGTGTGAGTGTAAATTTTATTGTCCATGTATACTTTGTCTCTTTCGTACACCCTCACTCCAAATGCCAGAGGTAAATTCTGTGGTGCCAGGGAATTTTTAAGTGTTTTGTCTGACTCATGAATTCTGTGAAAGTGATAGCATTTTGAAATAAATCTCATTTATGTCCTATTATCTTATATTTTCTCAAAGCTACGTATGATCTGGCTAGACCATATAAACTGAGAAAAATCATTGTTGTCTAATTACTACTGACCACGGCTGACTTAAAAAACTCCATGGGCATTTTCCTTTTTTCTCACGTTTGTTTAAGTATCTTCATCAACGTTTTTTCAGCATATTGTAAGGTAAATGATGCTCGATCAGTCTTGTAGGATTATTGTTGTATAACTCATCGGCTGATGTGACATGTGATTTTGTGGGCTGCAACAGTGCCATGTCATGCAGTCGTCTAGAAACCAGTAAACATTTTTTCATTTATGATGGAAGGAATTGAGCTTTCCCGAGAAAGAATTTTACCATTTCGGCCCCAGACACTGCATGGACATGCACCATCAGCAGTAACTTATATTTATGTGATAATACATATTTATGTGTACTTGTCTCAAAAAGTTGCCTTCAACTTCACGCAGGAACACCAAGTACCTTCCAACAGCAACAACAATCAGTCGGCTTCGGGTCCAGGGGAAGATCTGCCAGAGGAACAGGACGGTAACGAGGAGAGAGGGCAGGAGGAAGGGGACAGTCACGATGTCAACAAACCGGGAAGCAACGGGGATGTGGACCCGCTCCGACGACGAGACAATGAGGACCACGAGAGGGAAAAGGATAGCACAGTCGCAGATGTGGAGAGAACTGAAGTGTAGCTTGTGATTCCTCAGAAGTGCTGATCTGTTGACCTGTTGGGAGTTTTTATAGTCATTTTGGTGTTACGTAAGTGTGGTTCTTTTGTAACCCTCATGATACTTAATTCCGTCTGTTTTGTCTGGTGATCAAATCTGCCTGCAAAGTTTGTAAATATGTACCATTCTCATAAAATCATAAAATCTTTTTATAATCAGCTTGTTTCTGAATATTTTTGCCTGTTCATCTGTTATTTTGTATTCTTTTTATGAATTTTAGTTCAATATAAGAAAGAAGAATTAGATCCATTGGTTGTTTGTTTGTTTTTTCTTGAAGTTGAAGGAAGGTAATTGTAAAACTTAGAGCAAAAAGGGAAAATGGAAAAAGAGGATCTTTTTTCCAACTGTGAGGTGTTTCTTTTTTCTAGTGACCGGTCATGGTTTGAGTTTGGTTTTCTTTCGCTCTTTGACCTACCTCAGAGCTTTCTGATTGTTGAGAGTGGTGCTTCTTGTTACCTACAGGCGAATCGTACAAATGCGACAACTGTTATTTAATTTTATTTTGTATGATGACATATATATATATATATATTTATATATATATATGTATATATATATATATATACATATATATATATACAGTTCAAATTTTTAGTACCTCTTTGTTATTTAGCTCATTTTATGAGATTGCATTTTGTACTCAGTTCATAATAATGCCTTTAAAGTTTCATTGTTGTGGTTTGGCCCCTAACATTTGCAACACAGCCTTTTTATCCAAGGGACTCTGTGTTCAGTTCACTTCCCCTGACTTCTGACTTTGTGGTTAAGTCATTCTTAAGAGGTGCTGGAATGGTGGGGCTTTGGGGGGGGGGGGGTTGTTTGGAAAACACGCAGTTATCATGGCATTGTACTAGGTTGAAATTAACCCTACTCACTGACCCGAGTGTTTACAAGGTGCCTCTTTTGCTTTTGTCTGACATTCTTTTCCCAGCTTTTACTAGTGACCATCATCTTGTCTATTTGCTATATTTCCTCTAACTCAAGCAAACTCACCGTTGAGCGCTTCTTATTTGAGTCTGAGTTTGGAGCCTTTAATGGGAGTTAGATTATCAGGAATGATTCTTCTCTGTTGGTTATGTATAGTCTTGCCAAGGAACCAATGGCATCTTTTTTATTTTACTTTGAGACGTCCCATTCTAATTCTATTTCTAATGTGGTGCAGACTTCTCTTGAAAAAATCGAAACAAGAGGGAGGGAGGGAGGAGAACTATGCACTGGTCCGTACTAGTCTCCCTTAACATACGATTGTGTACATATTAATTAATTAAGCCCTGAAAAAATCTTTCAGTTCAACATTTGGCTGTGCCCTGGTACTGTTACTGCTGTTGAAGTTAGTGTACAGTGTTGACCACACAGCTGAAGATAAGTACTGAGACTGACGCATCGTCAGACAGACCCATCATCGAATAAACGCATACTCATGCAGACGAATACTCAGACAGATGACTACACCGACAGACAAATACTCTGACAGATGTTATAATAACACGGCAAGTACCGTACTCAGTTCTCGTAACTCAAAGAGAACAATCAACTCCACAAAGTGTATTATTCTTTAACATATCCAGAGTACATAGTCTAAAGTATAAACAAGGTGCATTTCTATTTCTTATCATGCATATATATACTCAATTATAAACAAGGTACAATTAAGTCTGCTTTGTTTGTGATTTAATATTTGAGTGCGTTTTCTAACCTACATAATCATAATTTGTAAACAAGGTGCATCTACATTCTTTTCCAGCTAGATGTCTTTCTCTCTTGTTTCAAGTATGACCTTCTCTTTTTTAAATTCTGTATCATCATATACCTTCATACGTGGCATTATTTCATTTCATATCTCCACCCTTGCCTGATGTCATTGTTATTCATTCCCAATGTCAAATGTACTATATTGAATTTTAAAATTTATGCAAGAGCTGAAATGAAACAATGCATATATCAAACAAGATCTTTACTTTGTTGCTTTTATAATTATACTACAGTCTAGCACTTACATAGCAAAATCAGCGGGACACAGAAATCTTTGTGTAATTAATTAATCACACTAGATGATTGTTTTAAAGAATAAAACATATACAAGAAAAACGTGCGTCCTAAAAATCTGTTCACTGTGTGCGTGCTAGACTGTATTTGAGACTTTTTGTTTTCTCAAAGTCAAGGTACCTATAATAACTTAACACAGTTTAGGTAAGGTAAAGTTGTGTACATGTTTAATCATAGTAAATTTTTATTTTACTTCTATTAGAAGAAGGAGGATCTAGAAGTTCTGGATCTCAGGATTTCCTGTTGTTTACAGAACAGTCTATTAGTACATAACCTTCTTGTGCCTCTTGTCTGGTCTTGGCTTTGTAAAACGTTATTGCATAGCTGTCAACCAGTATGATAAAAACATATTTAATTCAATTTTTGAGAGTTTAAGTATGGAAGTCTGTTTCCATTTTTAAAAATGTATTCCTCGGTTATTTAGTCTTGCTCATCACGGACTTGCAGATGCTGAAGAAAAATTCGGAACTTTCAAGACAATGTATTTGCGAAAAAAAATGAGAATGAAGCGGAAAGTCAATTGGAATCTGTTGCTGCAAGTGCACTTTGAATAGCTAGAATTTTTTTCATTGCAGGGTGTTTGGGAGGGTTTGGAGAAAGGTTACTTGGCCAATGCCCACCATTTTTTACCTTCTGCATGGATAAAGTCTTCCAGTTTTTTGGTTTTGAAAAGTTGGCAGCTATGACATCTCACTGCCTTTTAGATTGGGGGTTTCTGTCTTTTGTTATTCTGAATTAATCAGTTCCCACTTTGTTAACAATTCTCATAAAAGACTTTCTTCCCTAATTCAGATTGTTAAAAACAACATAAAGTGTCACAACACAGTGGAATCAGATGATTGTCAATTTTGGTTAATATAACCTTAGAGCTTGTGCATTTGTCTTTGACTTTTTTTTTTAACTTGCCCATGGCAGAAAAAATGCCGGTTTCTTCTATTTAATTATTTTAACAACCTCCTAATTTCACAATGATGCCACACATGATGCAGGACTCAGTTCATGACCCACCACTATTTGTTGCTCTGTGAGCCACCAGTAGTCAGTGGACTTAAGCTCGAGAAACTTTTATTCGTGCAGTGTGCTTGTGGTCGCACAGTAAAGAAAATCCTTATTCTATTCACACTACTAAAACTAAATGTTATCTGTATCTCTGCAAAGGTACCTCAGCCAACCTTGTTTTTGTGAGTTTATCATCAAAAGTGGATTATGACACTTCTCATGGCTGGATTATAATCATGACAAATCACACAAATTTGTCTTAGATGGATGACATGTTACTACAGGCACATAAAACATGCAAAAGTGAAGGAATGCAACAACAGAAAGTGTCATAATAAAATAATTTAATGGATATATGTAAAACTTTGTTCGTTGCAATAGTCGGGAGCAATACAATCATGCATCATGAGGACGGAACAATTGTAAAAAGAAAAATTTCAATGTTGCATTGGAAGAGTCACTGAGAACTGAAGTCATCTCTCCTCTGAGGTAATGTAGACTAAGAGGCACAAAAGGATGATTGATTTATAGCACAAATACTTCTAAAAATCTACATAACAAGGTGCACACAATGGACAAAAACCGTTGTAGAAAGTTTGTAAACAGCAGTCAGATACATACAGTCAAATTGTCGAGAAGAAATATAGTTGCCTTAGAGACAGGTGTCTTGAGCTGTGTCTTTATAATAATATTTAAAAACTGGAAATGGGAAGTGGTCATTTGTACAGGTGATTGTCTTGGTCTGGTGGCTGTTTGGGCAGGGCCAGCGGCAATAATATCCTACAACTAGTAGAACTAAAACAAAGGTATGGTCCAGCACAGGACAGATGAGTAAATGAAATTTATCTGTGCTCTATATCCCCTCTGGCAGAATCTGGAGTCGACACATATATTATAAAACAAAGATTTGTCTCATATATTTCAACTTTCAGTTACAGTATAAGGCTATCTCAAAACAATTGAGGATAATCCTTAAAAATGGAACCGGCAACACAATGGTCAACAGAGTAGTCACGTGTCCGCACAAATGAAGAGGGAGCAAAAAAGGTAAGGATGTGAACAACAGCTCACACTCAAAGCATCCACTGCTTACCAGACATAAAGTATTTTGAAGACAGAACAAATATAAAAAGCTTATGCTAATCACTCATCATTTTTCACATATACAGCAGTAAACTTTATCAAAGGCTCCCAAGGACACAAATATGGTACATGAGTATGAACAAAGACTATAGCCTACTTGGCAGTCTTCAAAATGAGCAATCCGAGTTCCTGATGTTCCCCAACCTTGCTTTGTTAATAAGCCAGCAAGTGAATGTTGGATTTCAAATTAAGGATGGATAAATTCACTACACTCAACAATTTTCGGGGTATTGAGTTTACACATTGCGGACAAAGGGGTGCTGCACAGAGCATGTCACTGACAGTCAGCCCTTCTACTTTAGCACGTCCTGGCTCTGGTGACCAACTCACTACAGGTTACATTACTTCATAATAATGTATTTGTAACACATTTGCACAAATCATTTTTAAAGGTAATGAGTCAAAGATATAAAGTGAAGATGACAGTTTTTTGTTTTGTATCCTAAATATGGAATCCATTTTTTAGCTAGTTTATATAACTCCCAGAGTTTTGAGATATTACAAGAATGCCATGACGAGCAACCAGATAATGAACAGTGCTGCTTTTTCTTTTCTGTTCCAAAGTATTATAGTCGCAGGCCGGTTGTCTTGTACAGTAAGTAAATCAGGTACTTACGTCCACCAGTTTTCATATAGGTTTCACGTCCTCGTATTCTCTGCTTCCCTAATCTGTCCCCGTTGAATTATGCAAATTTAGATGGCCAAATTATGCACACAAAAAAGCAAAATTATGCAAAAATTATGCAAGTTACCGTAACACCATTCGTGACATGTTTTGCACCTTTTCAGCAAGATTTTCATGATTTTCATGATTTTCATGTTTTATCTACAGAAAAATTGAAAACAGAACATATCAGTATCAGTAATTTGTTGTGTATTTGGAAAGAAAACTATACACATCAGTCAGAAAAAAAAAACCCAATAAATATAATCTCTGTAACTTTCAGCTGTAGATCTAGATCTCTATAGAGGAAAGAAAATGTAAAAAAAAAAAGGACATCTGGACCTCTGATGCTGGCATATTACTAAAACCAGGGACTCCTGTCAAACATGAAACATAAGCAGACATGAGAACAACAACTTTTGATGGATTGAAAAATTGAACATGCTCAAGGAACAAAATCCCAACCCATAACCAAGATCTTCTAACAAGGGAAATAACCAACTTTTCACTTAAATGAGACTTATTACAGTGATTATTTCCCTTTAGTCACATGGCGAGGCGTTAATTAATTGTTTGGTGAAAAAAAAGAGAAAAAACGTGAAAAAACGTGGGGAATCCAAAATTATGCAAATGTTGCAGAATTACACGAAAAAACGCGGCCGCACAATCGCATAATCCTACGGGGACAGCCTAATGTAACAACTCTACTCCTTTTGGGAGAAGAGTACTTCATCTGTTCATTCAAACATATATATATATATAAACATTTTCATTTTCATAATATAATTACCGTGTATCAGGACTTTCACATAGTCAAAAGAGGAAAAGAAATACAGGCCATGGAAATATAATACTAACTTCTTAGTAAGTTTATGAACTGTACCTCAGTTTTCATCATAGGTTCTTTCCCCAATCAGCATTTGCTGGCAAATTCAAAAGAGAGTAGACACACAACTTTCAGGGGGAAAGAAGGCTACTCATAGCTCCTCAAATATGATACATAAAAGTGGTGTATAAACAAAAAATTGGTTCGAAAAACAAAAATAGGTGTTCGAAAAACAAAAATGAAAAACACTTCAAATTATTTCCATTTTCAAACACACTGAGAGTCTCATTTTACCGCATTTTTAAAAAAGCTAACGCTTACAAAGGTTTCATACATGTATAATGAAAAGCAAAAATCCAAAAGATAAAACTATAAAATCTATGCTCTAACAAAATAAAAACCTTTAAAGACATGTCAAGTGGAAGTATCAAATCAAGTTCAACAACAAGTGTACTTCCTTCATTTATGATGCTATGGTTTAACATAAAACTGGTTCTGATTAGTTAAAACAACCAGTGGGATGTCTGGCTGTCACAGAGAGATCACTCTACTTTTTTAGTTTTAATTGGAACATGCTGATTTTCTATCACAACTCAAAAACTCAACCACTGTCATATTTCCGGGATATTACTCCATCATGGCCAGCACAATTTTTATATTGAAATTTATTAAATCAATATATATATCCTAGGCAGGCAGAAAACAGAGGATTCTTTTAAACCCTTTCTGTCACATGTGAGGCATCATGGTGAAGTCAAGCGCTCGTCAAAATAATGGGATTGAAGAAACATGCATTTTTCTTCCAGTTTGGCAATTTTTATCTAATTTTATGCTCAACACATTTTACGCCCATATAAAAACACATTTCCATGTGAATTTAACTGAAAAATGTTGATTAAAGGCACCAAATATGTGATTTTTTCAGTTTTCAAGACCTGTCAAGCTACTGAAGTTACCAAACTTTGACGGCCATTTTCTTGCTAATGTTACCAGGCTACCTCACCTCCTTCAATGGCAAATATCTTGACTTCTATTCAAGATCAAAGGATATTGTTTTCTGTGCAAGCATTGCAAGTGAACAAACTATCAAAAGATAGGCCTACCAATAACTCCACATGCTCAAAAACTGACGAGTGCCTGATTCCACCACACCATGCCACATATACTGCTACTTTAAAAATCTTCTCAAATCAAGAAAGTTGAAAGCAAGTCACCATAAGTTTTAATTTGCTGTGTAAATGTAGCCTAATAGTAATGATTTTAAAAAACAACCTTTGCTGTGCAAAGTGGAACTGAAAAAGGAAAATTGTTAAAAGCAGGCTGGCCTTAGTTAGGAGAAGCTTCTTCCTGAGAAGGACGACAAAAAAGAAAGCCTAGTTCTAGAAATCGTCTCAGATCATACTCTGCCCCCCCCCCCCCCCCCCCCCCCCCCCACTATCATTACTCTGTTTGGTTCTTTTCATTATTTGTGGAGTACTATTGACAGCAACAACAAAAAACATGGGAAAGTTCACTAAATGTATTTTTGTTTTGATTTGAAAGGATTCTCATATCTAATATCATTTGTAGCTTTATGTTTAAGATGCTGATACACACCTGAGCATTGTTCAAAGTTTAATTTATCTTCAAGACTAATACTTGCTGCTTTTTCAAGAGTAATGTCAAGGAAAAAGTCATTTACAAAATAAATTTGGTAGATATCACATATTTTCGATAAGAAGTGACCAGAAACATATTTGAAGCCACAAAACAAGAAAGGCAGCTGGTGATCAAGCAGTTTCAAAATAACAAAACCTGAACAAGACAACAAAGCCAAAAAAAATGTCCTTAAGCTGCCATACGGTGGATATTTCCTGTACGCTATTATCCCACCAGTAACAGCAGCCAAAATGTGAAATCCAAGAGCAATCTCAAACCCTATCTTTGAAATAAGCACCAAGCCGTAACTCAGTATGGAGATGGTCAAAATCACAAAAAAGCGAAGAGATGACCAGCCCCGCTGAAGATACAATCCCCATCCGAGAAGAAGGGCGAAAAACGGCAATGTACACCACTGATCCAGCACAGCCCAAATGACAGTCTGAGTTGTGATTCTCAGAAACTGAACCACACCATAAATGCTGGCCATTATGTTCAAACAATAAAACAACCTTGAATCGTTTCCTTTCAACATTCCTTGAGTAGTTGCTGTTTTAGTGAACCAACACCAGTAAAGACCGAGTCCTGTATATCCAAAGTTGATCAATGTGTTTAGAGGCATCACATTAGTAAATGGCAGCCATGCTTCTTCTGCATAATGTTCCAGGCCAATTTCTAATTCAGCATTGTCGAAGATTCCAGTGTATGAAATGCCAACTAAGACAAAAAATATCACAGAAACTGGAAAGAAACTGGAAAGCCACAGTTCCATTTCCCTTTGTTGAGTTGATATTGTCATCTGTAAACCCAAAAAGAGACAGAATAAAGCATTAGAACCTTGTATGGCAAATCACTACATCACAATGGAAATGTTTGTAATATGTCAGACACATTATCCTGATACTGATAAGGATAAAATGTCCTTCTACAAGTGAAGAGAATACATTTTCTTTTCCTTGTAGTACAGACCTATCATTGCTATCTAGTTTTAGAAATCAGAATAAGTAGGCTAAATATTTGTTACGAAATTTCAAAAATTCATTCAGCTAGAAAATTTTCGGCTTTCTTAAAAATTTTTCACATCTGCTTTCATACTTGAGATCTCCGAGGGACATTATCATGGATATATTCAAGGTTACAAAACAACTCTCATCCTTGAGGACAATTGGATTATTATTTAAAACCAGGTTATCTTGTTTTAGCTACTGTACTCAAGGAATCGAAGGGCAAAAACAAAAGGAAAAATAACATTGCCATTTACTTCACAGTACTCATTCAGACATGCAGGGAAGCATGGACCTTTTTTCCAAAGTCTGCGACAATTTCGGCCTTATTATCTCCACAAAGAAGACAGAAGTACTGTACAAGCCAGCCCCATCGGCTGCTTACATAGAGCCCCAATTTACCATCTACACCAGAGAAGTTTGTCTACCTTGGCAGCACCCTCTCTTGCTCGATCAATATCGATGAGGAAGTGACCTACAGAACAGCCAGAGCTAGTTCAGCCTTCAGCAGACTGAAAGACAAGGTCTGGGAGCAAAGAGGACTGAGCTTTAACACCAAGCTCAAAGTGTATATAGAGCAGGAGTTCTACCATCCCTGCTCTACACCTGCAAAACGAGGACAGTCTACAGCCGGCATGCCAAGCAGCTCAATGCCTTCCACATGAGATGCCTCAGGACCCTGCTTCATATCAAGTGGCAAGACATAGAGTCCCAGACATTGCAGTACTACAGCGGGCCGAGATGGAGAGCATATATACGCTATCCTACTGCGCTCTCAGCTCCGGTGGGCTGGCCACATTCACCGCATGGACAACTTTCGCCTCCCAAAGAGGTTACTCTATGGAGAACAGACCCTAGGCAAACATTCTCTCGCGGACAGAAAAAATGCTTCAAAGATGCCCTGAAAGCATCCCTGAAAATTTCTGACATTCCCCATACCACCTGGGAAGAAGCTGCTCACGATCGCACAGTTAATTGGCGCTCCTTAGTAAGATCGGGAGTCGCCAAGTTCGAAGAAAGACACATCAGAAAAAAGAATTGAGACGGCAGCTGAGAAAAGACCGAGAGAACTCTACCTTCCAGCCTAGTTCAGCCCCAAACATCCCCTGCCCCCCCCTGCAATAAACATAAAATTTCCGAGCGAAGATCCGACTGATCAGCCATCTCCGCACACACCCCACCCCTCCAGCGATGTGAAGTCAGGGTCATCTTCACCAGCGAAGGACGAACATCATCATCATCAATTGCTTAGTACTTAATTTCCCCCTGTTGTAGAAAAAAAGATCTGACGGATTACAGCAGGGGCAAGTCCCCTTGTTTTAACCCATCATGATGTTTCGCAGTTAAGTTTGACATTGAGTGCAAGAGTGAGTGAAAGTTAAAATTTACCAATTTTAATATATATATATATATATATATATATATATATATATATATATATATATATATATATATATATATTATATATACAGCTTTTCAAGTCATTTCTTTATGTAGGCCTCAAGTGATCGCTGTCTTCTTTATCTTTAGACCTACTTAGCCTTAGATACCACTGATACAGGTAGGTAGTGCAGTAGGCTACACTCAGTAGCAATAATTTCTCAATTTCTAGCCCATTTGGTCTAGAAATCCATATAAAATATAATAATTATGTGGCCAAAGAATTTAAATTAATGGTTTCCCATATCAGTCATTCGAAGCATGTGTTTGTTATCCTTTGTCCATGGGATTATTCTGCCACCACATAAAGGTCTATAGAGGCTACAAATTAGTACAAAGCTACAATACTCGTATTAAACCATTATACTTATAGTACATGTAGCATACGTCTATTATAGTTATAGTATAGCATTTTTTTTACTGAAGTTATACACATTGGACTGCGGCCTACTTCAGTGCACAGCTTGCTATAATATATAGTCATAGTTAGAGATAGTCATACTAGATTTAGGCCTACATTTTAACTGAACATATTTGAATCCCGGCATCTGTAGGCCTACTGAGCACAAGACCATAGATATATACAGATCTCTATATATATATATAAGATGACAAAATATAACCCACCATGAATGTAGAAACATTAAAGGGGCCGGTAAAGAAAGTAAGCTCTGCTGTCACACACAATCACAGACAACTTGGGAGCAAACGCGTCTGTTCGCATGGGGCAGGTAACGCCTTTTTGTTTGGGCTTGCAACAACCTTTGACCTATGAACTCTGAAGTGTTTTTTAGCGATTTCTTATAAACACTTTTTTTTTTCTCTGTTTTGCCCTTTCAAGTTTTCCTTTTGATTTTTAAGAAATTCAAACTAAAGGAAAATGATATTTTGATTTTTACTTCATTTTACTTCTAAAAACACAACTAATTCGTTATAATAAATTATGCTAAATAGTCACATGATATGTAAATGATGTTTTCACATACGGGCATTTCAAACCTACATTTTGTGCTTTCAATATGGCGGCTCCCATATTGAAATGGAAGCGGGTAACAAATACTTCAGGACCATGTCCAAGACCGCGCCATGGACATCGTGCAGTGGCCATAAAGGATCTAATGATTGTATTTGGTGGTGGAAATGAAGGAATAGTGGATGAATTGCACGTATACAACACTTGTAAGTAACTGTTTGTTTCATGTGTACTGCTCCATTATCAAAAATGGCGGCGTTTGTGTTGTTTCGATTGCGATTTCAGCTTTCGAGAAATAAGAACGATTGAAACGTCTTATAAAAACAGTCAAATTAATTTCCTGCATTGTGATATCATTTTGAACATTTGTGTGTGTTTTTTCTAGTCCATAATTTGTTTTAGATCTGAATGTTTTCGAAAAAGCGGCAGTTGCCAATGAACTGCGTCGGGAGCTTGGGAAGATTCAAAATGGCGGCGCCCTACTATTATTATGAGCCCAAAAATCTAATGGTTTCCGCTTGTTGTGCAGAAATGATATTTGGAATCTACTTGGATACAACTAGCCGTGCAGATAAGTTTCTTAAAGTGTCTTTTAATGTTTATGTAATCATTTCAGGCTTTGTAAATCGATGCCAAATTTGCGAATCGAAAGGAAGAAATTCAAGATGTCCGCTTGCTGCTTTACTTCACTTGTTGAATCTCGCGGGCCCGAGAATGACCGTGGTTTCTGTTATTTTTTTCTTTACGCTGTGTTGGACGGTTGAAATTGTGACGCATGCCTTTTTATTCACTTGTCTTAGACTAACGTTTCGTTGCAAATTTTTTGGGTTGTCTTCTTTGGCTGTACTGTGTTCTCAGTTTGATCTATTTATGATGCTGTCGGAATTGGACAAAAAGCGCCATCTGTATTTCAGCTGATGGTCCTTGATGTGACCAAGGGAGACGACCTTTTGTGTGTTTTCTTGTTTCCTGTGTAAAAGAGGCGGTTCCAACAAAATTGGAGATTCCGATTCCCACCGGCCTTTTAAAATAATTAAATTTTTATAAAAATAGTGTCCCATCGACCGACAAGTATATAAAAAATATGGAGGGGGGTGCTAGTTTTATTAAATGTGTGCTTGTTTGTAATTGTTGTGCCATGGATGGCTTTTGAAACAGTCATACTGTTATTGTATGTCATTCAGTTATAATATTAATACACCATCTCATCTTATTATATTATAGTTATAGTCATGTCATAGTCTATAGTAGTTTGTGCTGACTGCTGTACTCCACTCCCTTACAGGCCAGTTTTGCTATGGATTATCATGTCTAGTTTGGAGGGTTTGGATATTAGAATTTTGGGTAAGATTGAAGAATACCGGACCAGCGGACTGACTTTGCCTATGTCTCAACCTTAGGAATTCATAATTTCCCCGTTTTTAATATCTCTCAATGGAGAATCTCGGACCGGTAGATCTATTCATTAAATTTTGTCAGGGGGGAGACCCCCCTGAACCCACCCGCCCCACTTTCTCGGGCAATAATGTACGAGTGGTCCGGTATTCTTCAATCTTCCCGAATTTTGAAAGGTTTTAAAAGTTACACGGGGGGGGGGGGGGGGTAACTTCAAAGCGCCGCTAAGAAATAGCCTCTATTGAATTGTGGTGTCATGGGAAATTACGATATTAAGCCTATGATTATGTTGGAAGATGCTTAAACTTGAGAAACGCAGTTGCGAGCGCCGTAAAACCTCTACTAAAACTAACTAAACTTGAGAACAGGCAGACCAACTTAGTAACACCCATAAATCTATCTTTTCAGAAAGTACAATAATAATAAAATAATTTCATTTACATTCCACATAGCCGTGCTTTATAGCTTGCTCTCTTTGCCTTTTCAACTTGTTTTGCATTCAGCAATGGAAATAACTCTTATTCAAAAAGGATCTCTAAGTTTTTTTAGGTGCCATGTCTTTATTGCTGTAGATGGAATTACAAGTTCAGTGCAATGGATATAAACTTATATATTTTTGTCATGAAATTGTATTGCTCACTCATGGGTTACTCTTCATAATCAGAGGAAAAAGTATTTAATGACACAGTCTTTTTCTATTACACTTACAGCTGCCAATCAGTGGTTTGTACCGGCGGTGAGAGGAGACATCCCGCCAGGCTGTGCTGCTTACGGCTTCATCTGCGATGGTACCAGAATTCTTGTGTTCGGTGGAATGGTGGAGTATGGAAAGTACTCGAATGAACTGTATGAGCTTCAGGCGTCCAGATGGGAATGGAAACGACTCAAACCCAAAGCACCGAAAAGTGGTCCTCCTCCCTGTCCTCGGCTTGGTATGATAACTTGTGGCTGGTTTTTTTGGGGGGGGGGGGGTTGTGGGTTTTTTTTGTCTGTAGGGTACGAGCTTTCCCGCTCACCCCCCCCCCCCCTCTCTCTCTCTCTCTCTCTCTCTCTCTCTCTCTCTCTCTCTCTCTCTCTCTCTCTCTCTCTCTCTCTCTCTCATGTAGCTAAAGATGCATACTTACTTTATGTTTGTGTGGTATAAAGATGCTTTATGTTTGTTGTTACAATGGGACAAAATGCATGTGGCTTGGGGGGTGGCAAAGAACTACAAAGCTATGACATGTTTTCTTTCTTTCCAAACCTTGTTGTAAAGAGAACTGACTAGCAAAAAATAGTCTGGTAGAGAGTTTATATTGAAAGTATCAACTTGCAGCGCCAGATAGCTGGTGTCATGAAAATTGCTGAGTGTTGTAATACTAGGTGGAAGATAATGAGAACAACTCGGCTCATGCATGCCCATGGGCATTTATATTGCACAGAGGGCAATTATTCACTGGTTATATCGGGCATTGTTTATATTGTGTGTGCCAACTGATTTTTTGTGTGATTTGTCTCTATTTGCTTCATTTGCTCTTCCTCAGGTCACAGTTTCACCCTCTTGGGGAACAAAGGATATTTGTTTGGAGGCCTTGCCAATGACAGTGAAGATCCAAAAAACAATATTCCCAGGTGAGGGATTGACCTTAATTCCAAATTTTATGGCACTTTTGCCCAAAGTGGTTTAATTGGCATCTTTGGATTTTTTCCCTCTACTTTTGCACTTCTCTCATTGTGTGAAGTACATTATACCTCTGTAGTGTTAGTGATGAACATCTTATATAAGGCTTGTCTGGTATTTTTCAGTTTCTTACACGTTGATGATAATTCCCCATGTGTATATCTCCCCATAGGTACCTGAATGACCTCTACACCCTAGAACTTCGACCCTTGTCAAACCAGCTGTCATGGGATCTCCCCTCTATTGTGGGCGTGCCCCCGCCTCCCCGTGAGTCACATTCAGCCGCTTCATACGCAGAGAAAGATGGCAGGAGGCCACGTCTCTTCATTTACGGTGGTATGAGCGGCTGCAGATTGGGTGATCTTTGGATGCTTGATGTTGGTGAGTATTTGTTATGAGGTTGTTTATGTCTTTACCACTAAAGTTTTATCTCTACTGCATATTCATAGTCATTTTTTTTTAATCAAAAGAGTGCTGTTGTAGAATTATCTGACAAAAAATGGTCTACTCTTTGTGTGTCCCATTGGTGTGTATGTCATGAGAGATGTCTTTTCTCCTGGTTCGACTCTCTTCTCTCCACACTCAACCGAACCATTTCAGTATCTATTTTCACATTTTCAAAACATTTATTCTTCTCGTGCATAAAGTATTGACAACTTTTTTCCCCCCTTGACTTACTATTTCAGAATGCATGGCATGGGTACAGCCTACTATTTCAGGCATGCCTCCACTGCCTAGAAGTCTGCACTCAGCTACAGTGATTGGCAACCGTATGTTTGTGTTTGGAGGATGGGTGCCACTGGTCATGGATGATGTCAAGGTGGCCACACACGAGAAAGAGTGGAAGTGCACAAACACACTGGCTTCACTGAATCTGGGTATGGGTTCTGTCCGTTTTTCTCTCTATTTCTTGGGGGGGGGGGGGGGGGGGTAACTTCAAAGCGCCGCTAAGAAATAGCCTCTATTGAATTGTGGTGTCATGGGAAATTACGATATTAAGCCTATGATTATGTTGGAAGATGCTTAAACTTGAGAAACGCAGTTGCGAGCGCCGTAAAACCTCTACTAAAACTAACTAAACTTGAGAACAGGCAGACCAACTTAGTAACACCCATAAATCTATCTTTTCAGAAAGTACAATAATAATAAAATAATTTCATTTACATTCCACATAGCCGTGCTTTATAGCTTGCTCTCTTTGCCTTTTCAACTTGTTTTGCATTCAGCAATGGAAATAACTCTTATTCAAAAAGGATCTCTAAGTTTTTTTAGGTGCCATGTCTTTATTGCTGTAGATGGAATTACAAGTTCAGTGCAATGGATATAAACTTATATATTTTTGTCATGAAATTGTATTGCTCACTCATGGGTTACTCTTCATAATCAGAGGAAAAAGTATTTAATGACACAGTCTTTTTCTATTACACTTACAGCTGCCAATCAGTGGTTTGTACCGGCGGTGAGAGGAGACATCCCGCCAGGCTGTGCTGCTTACGGCTTCATCTGCGATGGTACCAGAATTCTTGTGTTCGGTGGAATGGTGGAGTATGGAAAGTACTCGAATGAACTGTATGAGCTTCAGGCGTCCAGATGGGAATGGAAACGACTCAAACCCAAAGCACCGAAAAGTGGTCCTCCTCCCTGTCCTCG